CAGGATAGGATGGGATGGGGATAGGGATGGGATGGGAAGTGATGAGGAGGGGATATGGCCCAGCCTGACGCTGCTTCCTGGTCACTGGGAGCACTGGGAAGGGGCAGATCCCCCCTCCGATGCCCACCTTTCTGGCAGGCGGTGCGGCTGGAGTCGGCGCGGCCGCGGCGGGTGCGGTACCTGCTGGTGGTGCGGTCGGAGGAGGCGGGAGCCGAGGCAGAGACGGCGCTGCTGGGAGTGGATTTTGCCCACGAAGGGTGAGCGGGGTGCGGGGGGGGCCCGGGGGTGGCGTCGGCACCCCCTGACCTCTGCCTGCCCCAGGGCCACCCTCTGCACCCTGGGCATGGTGCTGCCCCTCTGGAGCGACACCCAGGTGTTCCTCGACGGCGACGGGTAAGGGATGGGACAGAATTTTGGGACAGGGAGGGGCTTAGAGGGGTCGGAGTGCTCACCCTGACCCACGTATGTCCCCATGATGCCCAGGGGTTTCAGCGTGACATCGGGGGGAGAGACACGCATCTTCAAGCCCATCTCTGTGCAGACCATGTGGTGAGAGAAGCCTGGGTGTGGCCACGGGGGGTGTGAGCACAAGGGGGGTGGCACCACCTCGAGGACTGGGGACATGGGCACTGCCATGGGCACAGGGGATCTCAGCTCCATTACAGACACGGGAGATGTGGCACTGTTACGAACACAGGTGATGCTGTCACCATCCTGGTGTCGCACTATATTAGGAACGACAAAGCACGACGCTGACTCTCTTCTGGGTTGCACAAGAGCGCAAGTTTTATTATTCCAGATCTTCTTTTATAGACAGGTCCAAGAGGTAAAACTCTCATTGGTCATTAAACCAACACATCACCATCACTGGTCAATTGGGAACAACTCCCCTTGACTGTTTCTTACAAGGAAACTACAAGGATCCAAACAATACCTGCAAATGTTTTCCTTCTCTAAGGACTGTTTGGATTTCTCCATACGATTTCTCAGGCCAGAGTGAGAACTTTGTGTGACTTAGTTTCACACAGGCTCTGTGCTCCCCTGCCTGCTTTCTTACAATCAGCATCCATAATCCCGGGTGTGGGGATGTGGGCACCACGCTGGACACAGGGATGCGTGCACGGGGCATTTGGCTATCACCATGGCCACCACCATGGGCCCCTGGGCACAGTCATGGGGAAGGAGCTGGGGAGAGTTTGGGTGGCACCCACAAGCTGGGGACAACCAGTGAGGGGGACATAGGTGTCGGGGTGGTGGCGGGGTGGCGCTGGCAGTGCAGGGGTGGCAGGTG